TCCCTTTCTATAATCTACCCCCCGTACTCAGAATATCTCAAAAAAAGGTTTTTTCTGTTCTTTTTCCTTTTCCCTGATTGGATAAAATAAAAGTCGGTGGCGACTCTTGCTTACCGCGAAATTTTGCAAACACAAAATGCAAAACGCAAATCAGTATTAAACAATCGGTTCTGCCACTGTATCACACCTATCATAAACACATATCCTGCTGTTGACTTTCGATCTTCAGCATCACTACACCAACTCGAATCAGTGTATCCCACTAACTTGCATTCTTTTCCTTTATCAGCTGCAGGAAACAAAATTCCATAATCAAAAGTTCCTTTGAGATGCCTTAGTATCCTCTTCACTGCTGCTGGATGTGATACCTTTGGCTTCTGCATAAATCTACTTACCATACCTACACTGTATGCTAAGTCAGGCCTTGTATGATAAAGGTATCTCAATAATCCAATAAGTCTTCTGTATTGGGTTGGATCAACATCATCTTCATCTGCATCTTTCGACAGTTACAGTCTTGGTTCTGCAGGTGTCGAAGTTGCATTGCATTCTTCCATCTCAAATATCTTGAGAATTTCTCATGCATATCTTCTTTGATGCATCATCAAACCTCTACTGCTCTTGTAGAATTTGATCCCAAGGAAATATGAAATCTCACCCAAATCAGACATTTCAAATTCCTTGCTGAGATCACCTTTGAAGTCTTCGATCTCACTTTTACAGCTACCAGTTATCAAAAAATCATCTACATAGAGACATAGTATAAGCAATTTACTCTTGCTTCTTCTTACATATACTCCATGTTCAGTTGTGCACTTCACAAATTCCTTCTCCCTTAGGAAACTATTAGTTTTCTTATTCCAAGCCCTTGGAGCTTGTTTCAATCCATACAGGGCTTTATGCAGCTTGTACACTTTTCTTTCTTCGTCATGTTTCACAAACCCAACTGGTTGTTTAACATAGACTTCTTCATCTAAGGGTCCATTTAGGAATGCACACTTCACGTCCATCTGACATATGTGCCAATTGTTTATTTATGCTAGACCAATAACCAACCTGATTGTTTCGATCCTAGCAACAGGTGCAAAAACTTCATCGAAGTCTATTCCTTCTTTCTGTAGAAATCCTTTCGCCACAAGCCTTGCTTTGTGTCGAGTTACTTCACCTTTCGAATTCGTTTTCACTTTGTATACCCACTTGATATCAATTGCCTTCTTGACTTGAGGCAATTCGACAAGTGACCAAGTATTGTTGTCTTCGATAGACTTCACTTCTTCTTTCATTGCTTTCACCCACTTCGAATCCTTCAATGCTCCAGCTGCATTAACAGGTTTGACATCTGCATAGAAAGCATAATGTACCAGCTCACCTTCATCATCTATCACATCATCTGATGTAATCACACAATCTTGCAATCTTGCAGGAAAGTGTCTTGTTCTTTGAGGTCTGCTTGTACTTGGTATATCTGCTGGTTCCTCTTGTCGAACTTCTCTTTCGACTTGAGTTTCTAGCTCTTCAAGTAGGATTCCCACTGAATATTTCTTGACATTTTCAGTCCAATCCCATTCTTTAAACTCATCTATGATCACGTCCTTGTTGATCACAATCTTCTTGTTCTCTGGATCGAACAACTTGTATCCTCCTGTCAAATGATATCCAACTAGAATCATTTGACTTGACTTGTCATCAAGTTTTCTTCTCAACTGAACTGACACATGTCTATATGCAATAGATCCAAATACATTTAGATGACTCAAGATAGGCTTCACACCAGACCAACATTCTTCTGGAGTAATTCCTTCTAGCTTCTTTGTAGGACATATGTTCAAAATGTATGTTGTAGTCGAAACAACTTCACCCCAAAACTCTTTAGGTAAATTCTTGCCTTTCAACATACTTCTCACCATATTCATGATGGTTCGATTCTTCCTTTCTGTAATTCCATTTTGTTGTGGAGTATAGGGTGGCACCACCTCATGCATAATCCCTTCCTTTTCACACAGCATGTCGAAGTCTTTCGACACATATTCTCCACCACCATCAGTTCTCAAAACTTTGAGCTTTTGACCACTTTGTCTTTCGACCATAGACTTAAACTTGGAAAATACTTCGATCACTTCACTTTTCTTCTTGATCAAATAAGTCAACAGCTTTCGACTGAAATCATCTATGAATGTAACAAAGTATTTGTTACCTCCCATCGAATCCACCTGGATTGGTCCACATACATCAGAGTATATGACTTCAAGACTAGCCTTCGACCTGCTTCCTGCATCCTTGCTGAAGCTATTCTTGTGTTGCTTCGCTTACACACATTCCTTACATACCTCGTTTGGAATGTCGATTTCTGGTAATCCTGAAACCATATTTCTTCTCTTCAAATCTATGATGTCTCTGAAGTTGAGATGGCCTAGTCTATAATGTCATATCCATTCATCTCTGCTAGCTGCAGTCGAAAGCAACTTGTGCTCCATCACATTTAGTTCAATCTTGAAGGTTCAATTCTGAGACATAGGAGCCTTCAAGATTAATCTCCCGTTTGCATCAACGAATCTCATCATCTTATCTTTGATTGACACTTTATAATTCTTTTCGACCAACTTCCCTATACTGAGCAAATTGCTCTTAATGCCTGGTATGTACAACACATTGGAGATTACTGACCTTTTGCCATCTTTCCTCATAATCATAACATCACCGATACCTTCAGCTGCTAGGGTATTGTCATTTGCAAACTTTACCATATTTTTTATTGAGGGCTTTATATTGACAAACCAGTCTTTCCTTCCAGACATATGTGATGAACATCCTGAATCCAAGTACCACTGGTCCTTGAATCTATCTTCATCTCTTGTTGTGACCATCATCATCATCTCTTCTTCTTCTTCTTCTTCTTCTTCATGTTTTGCAAGCTTTGCATCACTTTCTTGATTCTTTCGTTTTTCTGGACAATCACTCGAATAGTGACCATACTTCTGACAATTGTAACATTGAATGTGACTCTTATCAGGTTTTCGACTACCACCTCTTCCTCTATTTGCAACACCACCTCTTTGGTTGCCTTGGTATGGTTTTCTTTGATTCGACATGTTTCCTTCGATCTAGTTTCCTCTACCATTCGATTTGTTGTAGTCACCTCTACCTCTGTCGAAACACTTTCCTTTGCCTTTGGTCTCTTTTGCTGAATGTGCCTGCAGGGCCACGTCACTCTTCGATTTGCCTGCAGCTCTTTCGTTCATTCTTTGCTCATGATATTCAAACGTCCCTTGAAGCTCTTCCTTTGTCAATTTCGACAAGTCTTTCCCCTCTTCTATCGCCACCACTATGTGGTCGAACTTAGGAGCTAAAGATCTCAAGATCTTCGAAACAACAACTCTTGTTGTTAACGTTTCTTCACATATCTTGATTTGATTTACTAGTTTTGTAACTCTAGTGAAGAAATCAGATATGCTTTCACTGTCTTCCATCTGAAGCAGTTCGTACGTCCTTTTGTGAGTTTGTAACCTCACTTCTTTCACCTTCTCAGCGCCTCCAAAAGACTTCTCAAGGATCTCCCAAGCTTCTTTTGCAGATTCTGAATCACTAACCTTTTCGAAATTGTCTAGGCTGACACATTGATGAATTATAAATAATGCTTTAAAACTAGCTTCTTAGATTCTGTGTATTTCTTCTCCAAGCGCTTCAACTCCATCTTTTACAAGGTCCCAAAGACCTTGACACCTGAATAAGACTTTCATCTGTTTGCACCAATTCTCATAGTTGTCAACTTTCATAATTGGTAGGGTTTCTCGATAGTTTGCATTCCATAACTTGTCATCGTGAATTCTTCAATCGTTCTTGATTGATACTTTCCTTGAATCGAAACAAATGCTCTTGATACCAGATGTTGGAAATCCACCAAAGTCTATGATGAATTTCTACCACAATGACAATTTAATTATGAGACAAACAAAGAAAAGAAGACAAGACAAATAATTTCTGCAGAGTTTCTCTCTGCTCACAAACTGTGAAAACTTTATTATTCACTTTGCAACTGCAAAATACTGTGAATAGCTTGCTTGACTTGCTTACAAAAAATAAGAGTTACTCCATCTATTTATAACTGAGCTTACACCCAAAGCCCAAAGCCCAAAATATCTATTTTGTTACTAAATCAAATCTAATTTATTTTAGACTTAAAACAAATCTATTTAAATCTAAAACAAATAAAATATTTTCGACACATAGTTTCAATATACTGGATTACAATTTAACACTAACTTATAATATTATTTTTCGTTTTAGTAGTATTTTATGATTTTTTTTATTACCTCTTCGTAATTTTATAAAGATAATTGGATAGAATTTTCCTACTTTAGTTATAATATTATGTTTTATAATTTCCCTATCTTAATTATGATATTATGTTTTATAATCTTACTCCGCTGCTTTAATGATTCGCCGAATATTTCTGATTCTATCACATAACACTTCTTTTCTATTAGTTAACCACGGAAATTATAGCAGTTAATGTATAATTTTTTAGTGTTTATAAAAAAACAAACAAATAAGAAGATATAATAACTTCAATAAAAAAACCAATGTTGTCCAACATTAATTGTTATTAACGTTTTTGGGTAATTTTATTAAATAAATCTCATAAAATCATTGTAATAGAATATATATTAAACGGGGTCAGAAAACTTAATAGAGAAAAAAAATTCCTTCTTACGCATCCTTCTCCATAAACACCTAAAAATATCACTTTACAATTAGAGTATCTACGTAAATAACGCACTTACCATTAAAATTTTTGAAGAAAGAAAATGAACTATACATGAAATCTAAAACTATTTATGTACGTCCTATCATATACATCTGACTATTAAACAACATAAGTGTTTTCCTTACACAATATCTACCATCAAAATCGAATATTTTTTTTTGTCATCAATCTTTTCTTCTTTCGTTTTAGATATGATGTTTCTATTTCTGTTTGTCTTCTATTTTTGTATAAAAAATTAAATAATTGGAAACGTTTTTCTATCACGAGGAATTTCCACAATGGTTAAACTTTCTTGCTTTGGTAGTAAACTAGAATCTAAATTATGATAACCAATCCCTGATCTCTTTTGTTGTTGAATAACCATAACAGAACCATCAAAAGTAGAATCCGAAGCAACTAACATGTCACCAATAGGTCCAAGTTCAGGATACTCATTCCAATAAGATAATCCACTAAACAAATTTGACTCACTTGCATGTCTTCTACCAACCAAAACCAAATCGAAACAACCTTCAAGTGATCTTAGAACATTTATCATTTCAACACTATCTCTTACAACTTCCTCTTTATAGTCGTGCCGTTTAATTTGGATGCATTCCACTTTAAACTTATGAATCAAATCCCCGTCTGGATCCCTGTTGGTCAAGTTCTTATTTTTCTTGCGAGGCTCCATTAGTCTTACCAATGTAACCCTTACGATCGGGTTATTCGCCATCCGCATCGCATAGGCTAAAGCTTCACGATCATCGTTGCCTTCTATAAAGACTATTCCAACACTATAAAATGCGACATTTGTTTGAGGATTGTTTATATTCAAACTACCACGCTCAATTAGAATCCCAACAGAACAAGGTGCCGTCCTAAGAAGCTGACGATTTAATGCCCTAATTGGGTGTGTGGATTCTATTATCCCATTTGATTTCCATTGTCTATGAAAAGGCACAATCAACAAACAAACTCTCTTTTCAGCAACCTGCATACATATTTCATCATGCAATGTCTCGTAAGGCGAAATGGATGTGTAGAGTTTTACAACAACATTGTTCGATTTTTGTTGCTCGTAGGATCGAAATGCCTTTATTATGTGCTCCGAGTAATTCTTTTGTGGAGGATTCTTCTTACTAGTCGGTTGATGATCAATGAAAACCGGGGTTGATCTTCCTCTTAATTGAATAAGATGTAGAACATAGAAACATATAGGATTTTCCAATGAAGGGTTTGACATTTCAAGAAGATTGATTATAGAAGGTGTCGTTTCTTGATTGTGTATACATGCCATGAGACGCAGTTCAATATCTTGAGTTGATTGTTCGATGGTTCTTCTCCTATTTAAAGACAAATACCTCTTAGAAGGATCATATAAGAATTTCACAAAGGGAGTGGTGATTCCTGTTAACCATAGTATCGCTAACAATGCATTACCATATGATTGTTCATCTATCTGCAAACAAAACATGTATAAATTCTCTATATGCAAATACAAGATGGCAAATAAATAAAAGGATTATTGATTTTTACCGTAATATTTAGACCGGCTTGCAAGTAAATCACATGTGTGATGCCTTGAGCACTCATAAGTAGTCCTAAAGCTATAATATCTGTCATTGGCATCTTCCAATAAATTGAAGGCAATATAGTTCCTATGACCTTCCCAAGGAATGAAACAATAGCAAGAAGTTGAACAATCACAAATGTATGACCATCAATTAGAAAAACATTGAATCTAGACCCACTATAAAGATAATACAATGGCAAAAAAATATTTGAAACCAACATATCCAATCTATCAGTCAATGCTGATCCTAATGGAGGACCTTCAGGTACAGCTATACCAAAAATGATAGGTAAAATCAGAACATGTTGCCCGATAACTTCGCTCAAAAATGCGCAGCTGATTAACATTAAAAACACTGACATTATATGTGTTTCTTTCATTTGTCTCCCTTCAGGTGTTTGTCTTATCATCCAACACATTATGGGACGTAAAACATATACTATAATAGTAATCATAACGGCCAAACTCAACCCCATCAACTGATAAGTTTTATGATCCATGGAAAATGTGTTATCGTGAGATACCACCGCGCTAACAACTGTTAACGAAATGGTTCCACTAATCATTGAGGAAGATATCGCTAATCGACCCATTTCAGAGTTTAATAGTTTTAAATCTGCTAGGTGGATTGTGGTTACCATGGAATGAACCACTTGAGAAGATAAATGTGATGGAAAATAAGGACTTGTAGAGAGGATGATCAGAAGGTAATGTTTCTTTTGCAAAGAAAAAAAACAATGAACAAAATAATAGTGGAATGAGAAATGTCAATATTCCAATTGCCCAAGCTTTTTTCCCTGATCTTGCAACAATAGTCATATCAATTTTTACTCCAATTATGAACATAAACATCATGCCTCCAAAAAAAGCAATTGTCTCACTTATGTAGAATGTTTTTGGTGGGAATAGCCACTTTTGTAGGAAAGCACTTTGTCCTATAACTGATGGTCCTAGCATCATGCCAGCCTGAAAAAATAATTGATTAGCATGTATTTATCTTTTTGTCCTATAATTAGGGCCATCTTCATTCATGTGTGAAACTGCATTGTAATCACATCGGACAATTTTGGTAATGTTCGTTCAAAATTTACTCTAGAAATTAGAATTTCGAAACCCTAAAACTCGATCTTCTTTGTACCTATTGATAAGAGTTTGAAATACAACGTTGAGAGATTGTCGAAAGGAATATTTTTCATTAAAATCAAAATAAAATTGAGAATTAGAGATTTAAAATTATAATTTTTAGAGAGAAACTTTGAACAAATACGACCAAAATCGTCTGATGCAGTTCTTAACACAGTTACAATATCGTCGCACACGTTGAAGAGGATACTACATCACTAATATTATGGTCTACAATTACAAATGCAATCATATATACCAACTTTCATTGAAGTAATAACCAACGAACCGATAAACATATCTATAAAATATATTACCAGCATTTGTGAAAAGAATCTGGTCTCTCCAATAGGTTCAAGCAAGAATTGTAAAGTTGCAGTTAAGCTAGAAACTAAAGAGATTTGTATAAAGAGAACCGGCAATGTGTAACGAAATGGATTATCCGAAAAGAAAATCCTCTTGATCTTTGATTCTTAGACACCTGTTCACAAATCCATACGGTTCCATTTGTTGAAATGGCATTAACGGTCGAGTTTACGATAGTATCAGCCATGTGACGTTGATTAATTACTACAAATCAAGAATCATTTGAAGAATGAGGGAAGAGAGATAAACACATGTTTTGATTTTATTTGAAGAATGTTTAACTTTGTAAGATGTTAATTATTCATTTCAATCATGGTAACGCTGAATTGTGGGTTTGGAATTTTATAATTAGTTTTGTTTTGTAATTAGTCTATTGTGATATTTTTAGTGCTGAATTGGTGGTTTAACCATGTAACTTCATTAGTTCTTGTTTAGTATGTTTAATTTAGAGATATATAAAAGGATAAACAATTAAACCCTTTGAGGTTTACGTACCTAATAGAATCATAACCATAAAGAAAATTAGAATTCTTTGTATAGTAGTAGATTTTTTAAGTTGGAAAAATGTGTACAAAGCTAACTCTATTGTGGGGTTTCTAATTGTATTCCTTGTGCAAAAGATAGATCGATTTACATTTACCCCTATTTAATAATATTGTGATTTTTCAAACAAAAAAAAATTGTGATATTTTTATTGCTAAATGTGGTTTAACCATGTACTAACTTTTATTAATTCTAGTTTAGTAATGTTTTAATTTATAATTATTTTTTTTTTGGTTGTATTATATTTGATGGTTGATGTATTGCACAATTTTTGTTCTATTTTATTTGATGTTTATATACTTGATAAAATAATATAAATTTTATTATAATGTTTTTTTATGGATATTTAAAAT